TACAAGTAAAGTAGCCCAAATAGTTTGTGACCCAAGGAATTCGCACAGGAGCAGAAACAGCCCAGCGCATGGGAACAGGAGCCAAAAAAAAACAGGAAGCAACGACATACATAGCCGGTATACTTAATGAAGACAAGGAACCTAACCTAACCGGCAATCCAATTGGGCTACAATTGGATTGCAGGTTATTGCCAATATTCTGGACTAGGAGTATGGAAAGAAAACGAACAGTGCAGAGACCGAGCATGGAGAAAAGATACAGGAACAAAAGATCGAGAAAGGGCTGAAAACCAAGAATAAGCCTGGAAGAGAACCAACAAGCCCTAGAAAGGACCGGAGGGGTAGCCATATCGAAAGACAACAGACGTTCCAATAATACAGGAAGTAGTGAAAAACCTTCCCGAACCTTCGAGAACCACAGAAGCAAGCACAAATCACGAAGGCACACAAAAGCACAGTCACACCCAAGACCAAAAGTCATATAGAACCCCATGAAGAGGGGAACATGACGAGGAAGTCCCGTCCCAAGAAAAGGGGGAAATAAACGGAAAAGGACACCATCCAACAAGACGGAACCAACAGACTCGAGGGACAAGGAAGCTAGCCCGGTGAGGGGCTGACGCCCAACAACTCGTATGGAGAGGGGGACAGGAAGAACCCCACTCCGCATAACCGCAAGTCCCACGCAAGAGGGTAGAACAAACCAGGTGGGGTCCAATGGGGCCCGAGGCCAACTCAAGGCAACCCTTCCCTAGCCCAGGGGAGGGGTTGCCTTGAGCCCCGGGAACCCACACGGCAGGCCCAGGGGCAGAGTCGTCCCCCCAAAGCCCCGGCCTCACAAGAAAAAAGCGGGGGCAGCCGCGAAAGTACTAAGGAAGGGAGCCCACTGGCAGACTCCTACAATACGGCTGGAGGAACAGGCTCAAATGCCTCCGTCGCTACCCCGAGTCACACACACTCACAAGGTAAGCCCCAACACCAACCAAAACGGGGCAGCCTCAGGGCTCCCGAGGAGCAAACAACCGAGAACACTGCCACCATCGAAGCTCAACGTGCAACGCCCGTGCTGCCTGCATCTGCATCGTCAGCATAAGACTGGGTAACCAAGTCACAAACAAGCAACAAAACTCGCAGGACTCCGGGCCGAAGGTACCACCGACCCCACAGGCAACAGACGGAGGCAAAGACCGTGAGACTGTGGTTGCTCTGTCCCCTGAGAAAAGGGGACACAGCAACCTGCAAACTTGTTGGAAGTGAGGGGGGTCTCCGGGATCACATCCATCAGACCCGGGCGTCCCCTAGAGGATTCCCAGGGTCCTGAGCATTTACTATAAGAGGACTCGTGCTCAAGTAATCCCAGGCAGGGTACAATTAACCGGCGCCCAAGTCTACCAAACAACCTTCTAAGAACTGAACCCCTGGGACATGTACACTAACAGGGACCTAGCAAGGTGAACCAACGGAAAAGGAAGAGTATACGCAGTACAAAGGGGGAAAGAACCAAGGCAAATCCCCCCACCAGATAGACAAACAAAAAGAAAAAAAGAAGACCCCGCAAGAGAACAGCGTATCCAGGCGGAACAGAGCTGGCCTCTATGATTGGTGAAAACAAGCTGCGCACTATGCTGCGCCCCACCAGTGCAAACTGCCCCTTACCCCAAGGCGAACACGGGAGACAGAACACCCTAGCACACAAAGGGCTGCTGAAAACCAAGCAGTAAACGGCGTAACAGGGTCAGAACCCAGAGGACTTGTGGAAGGGAACCCCAAGCCCCAAGGGCAGTACTTACAGGGCACCTAGGGAAGGAAACTTTAGGCGCATGCAGCCTGAGTACTGGAGAATCATTCCCGGCTCATGCACCACCTAGAAGACAGTCACCACACGCTAGGTACAGTGCTGAAACAACCACCGGAGTCAGAGCACATGATCTCAGCCTTTAGCATCAGCCAAAGAACTGATGGTGGATAGCCCGCACTGTAGGTCTGGGGCTCCCCCTTCCCGGGGAGGAGGGAGCTGCACAGACAGCGGCGCGGCAACGTGTGACGTCATGATCGTTTGCTCGTTTCTTTTAGGGGAGTTCTATTCACTTGTTCAGCTTGTGGTAGCAATTTACACCAGAATAGGGGTTTGTTTTGGGAAGCTTACCTTTCTGGGTGCCTGACCCGGTTGATGGCAGACATAGAATGCTTTCAACCACACGAGGGTTTCTATAGGCCATTGCTCCCCTTGCCTCTCTGAGGGGGCCAGGTTCTGGCTCATGGTCCCCGGTAGGCCCATAGAACTCCATACACATACCTGTTTGATGGGGTTCTGGGAGTTCTTCTACTCCCCAAGCCCGGCCCGAGGCCAGACTCGACTTGTGAGAGTTTGGTCCACCAGGCTGTTGCTTGGAGCTGCATGACTGATGCTAAAGTCTGACATTAGCATATCAGCCTGGATAAGCCCCAGAAAAAATATTTTTTTTAACTAATTTTTGGGGGATAAAACTAATTATTAAATATTTTTATTATACGCTATGGTGATAGCTGAGAGTCATAGACATGATTTCAGTTAACACTTGTGTTTGATGTAAATTTTTTTACCATTTTGGAAAAATTTTGACAATTCAATATTTTTTTCTCCCTTCCTATTTATGCTACGATACCGAGACTTGGACCAGATGAAACCCTTTTCATATACAACTCGTCAAAAAAGTTAGATTGAAATCAAACTAGTTTTCATTTATTGCATTTTTCTGGACTGCACCCTTAATGAGCTGACTGTAGAGTAAGGTTGCAGAAGGTTGTGTGCTTGTAAGTAAACATTGTGGCTGAACTGTTATTTTGAATGGTTAACCCTTAGACCGCGCACATTACAGCGCATATTGGGGACCTGGTAGCGAAAAATATTTGAATTATGTAAAAATAACTTAATGTTAAACAAATCTCCAACTTATTGGCTTCAGTGTCGTGAACTTTCATCAAAATACTTTCAGAAATTGATTTTAGACGAATTTTAAAAAAATAAGAATGTTTTGTTGACAAGGAGAACAGCTCCCAATAACTGGAACTGATGGATTATGCAGTAATAAAGAGATGCAAGCACCTGTCTGACGCTCAAAGAAGAAGAATAGTAGTAAGAAGTGTCCACAAAGTGGACATGCAGTTGGTACCTTTATATCATTGCTGAGTAATACATAATAACACAAATAATAATAACTAACTTAATATGCTCTATTTCGTTATATATCATATAAATACATTGTCCAATGTTTATATATGTTACTTTCATCAATGTCCCAAAAATATTTTTTTAGGGGAATTTTTTTTTAAGATTTAAGTTTCTTCTCCTTTGTTTATTATCTGATTTATTTTTCACTTGTACTGTATAAAGTATACCCTAAATATGTCCCCTAAATCATTATATTTATTATAATTATCCCTATATTTTGTGTTTTTGGGGTTATTTTTTCTTGACTTCATTTCATCACACATTGACCTACAACTTTCACACATTCGAGTACGAATGCCAAACAATGTTTGTTAAAACATCCAATTAAATTAACAAATTAAAACTACCTTTATTCATTGTTGATAACTTCAACTTCAATTATCTCTGAAACTAGAGTTTCAACTTAAAGAGTGGCGTCTAAAATTCAAGTTTTTGACCGATTCTCACTATTTTGACATTGTGTGCTCAGCTGTCTGTTCTACAATCCCTTCAGAATGGATTTTCATAAACTTTATACATTTGGAATTATAATTTTTTTTGTCTAAATTTGCCGCATATTTCAAATGCCCTATTGACGATTTTTTTTACAGTATACTATACTGAAAACCTATATTCTAATTTGATGAAAATGAAGATAATATGTTATTCTGAGAAAATAATAGCATTAATGGAACAATTGGTGATAGTTCAGATTTTTTATTCTGAATTGAAATTCTGAAGTTTTCAATATTCAATTTTAAAATTAATTTTGATTCTCTTGTTTTTCAAGTTACCCTGTGATCATTTACACAAAATTGGAGCATTTGCTTAGTTGATTATGCAAAAAAAAAATTGGAAAGTGTTTGTGTAAGTTTTAAAAACTTGTGTTAAATTATTTTGTCAAATCGTATACTGTATGTATGTATTGCACGGGCTAAGGGTTAAATATGGCTGTTAAATACCACACCCACCAATTGTGCTTAATAGTTCGTTATGGTGCATAATAATGTAAATAGTTATATATAAGATGACCAAACCACACATATCAGAAAGTGAAGAAATTACCATATTTCAGTCCATCCTGGACCACTATTTACCACATAAATATAACTGTTTATATTATGCACCATAACGAACCACTAAGCAGGACTGGTGAATGTTGTAATGAAATCCAAGCACAACAGAGCCACACGTTCCCAGCACACAACCGATGAAGCAACGTTGAAACTTGAAAGGTTAAAAAAACATTTTCCTATACAGTAATATTAAGGAGAGTCAAATTAAGCATGCACAAACACTTATAGCAGTTCACTACAAGGTAAATTGACATTGTACATTTCATGCAAGAACATAAATGAGAAAGCCTAAATAATATGAGGTAATCCCAGAGATGGTCACAGAGAATAACATGCACAAACGTGCAACACAAATATGTCAACAATTAGACAAAAGCACATATTATTTACAGAATTTAGTATTAAAATATGAATTAGTGAACATGCTGAATTGGCAAATAAAATATATAACCTTAGGAAGAAAAATCTAATGGCCTTAACTGAAAAATTATTATTATTATTACTAGTATATGCACAATAATGCTTTGCTAAACACAAGTAAACTGAAGAAAGAAGAAGAGAAAGGATAATCTAAAAACAGTATTCAATATAGAAAGCCAGAAAGGAACCACGGTAAAGTAAAAGGCACATGAAGATTTTAACGAGGAATTTGGGGAGGCCACTAATGGTAGGACAGTAACTAAAGAATACACTAATTACACTAAGAATACACTAATTAACAACTGTGTACATACCTGTGATATAGGGATGCCAACTGCTGGCACAATATTGGCTGGAAAATAATTAAAGTACTTTAGTCAATCAAAAATATTTTGAGAAGCCCTAGTCCAAGCTTTAATACCGTTGAAAGAGCTTACATCTGCCGGCTTTCCCAATGGGTCCCTGAAACACGGCCCTTAATTTTTTTTTGCTTTTTTTTTTTTGTTCTAATATATATGGCTACAAATACACAAAGATTACCTGCACCAGGTCATGACCAAAGTGAAACCTTCTTTTAGAAAAATTGTTTGATGGAAGCCAGTCAGATGGAGGTGTATATTTCACTAAACTGGCTTGGCTTTTGGCTTACCAAGAGACGATAAATGGTGCACATCAATGGTAACTGGTCCTCCTGAAAGAGAGTGAAAAGTGGCATGCCACGAGGGTCCTTCTTGGAATCAATTCTTCATAACTTAAGAGAGGTATTATGACAAAATTTTAAAAGCGAGACTGTAAGCGGCAAAAGAAATTGTCACCAACAATCTGATACAAAACATTATATCTTAAAAATGAAATTCATTATCCAATGAAGATGGTGAATACTTGTTTTTAAGTTAATGATAAATGGATCAAGAAACCCATGAATAATTTGAAACTGAAAAAACTTGAAAACAAAGGCAAACAAAAATTTCAACGTTTTTCAAGGTCTGAATTAACTATACTGTATCAAAGAAATAAACATTTAGCATGAACTTAAATACTGCATAACAAAAAATAAATGATAGAATTGACACCCAAATTTCACAAAACACCTAAAAGATCATCAAGCACCAACTACTGTACATACACAACAGTGACCAACAACTACACATATAATAGTGACTAACAACTAATGTACACGCACGTGACAAACTGAAAAAAATAGTACTATTAAAAACGGTAAAAAATAGTGATCCTTATTCGATCATTACAACAAAAAGCCCTTCCTAAATATACTAACTACCCTATCACAAACTTCTTATGTAATGAGGAATACGGTCGAAAGAATAACATGCGTACCCGTGCTAAAGTTGGATACTTAAGTTTAATCATTAATTTAAGAGTACAGCACAGCACTCTACTGGTTCTTCCAGCGTCCATTGATATACTACATACAAAACAAGTGCACCATAACCATATGGCAAAAGTTTAGCTGAAAATAGTTTTGAACTTTAATTCCATTTTAATGGCGAAAACTATTAAAATAGTGAACTGTCAATTTAACTTTCAAATATTTTTTTATAAACGAGAAAGTCAAGTACAGTTTCTCTAAAGCCAGCAATACCAATGGCAAATTATATAAAACAAAAAATGAGGACAAGTGTAATAACTACCCCCCCCCCAACCTTCCTTAAAAAATATAGAAAACATCAGTTTAAGTGAATGCAAGAAATTAATTTCCATCCTGAAAAAAAATTAGTGGAAATGAATTCTTATATTTGTGAAAACCTAGACAATGTTGAATTTCATGTAATTTTTTGTGCATGTGTACACATGTATTTAATTACTGTACCCAAGTGTAGTTACTGGATGAGAGCTATGCTCATGGTGCTCAAACTTCCATATAATCTTATATGTCATATGATGCTTTAAAACAACTAATAATGACATCCATCACCTTCTCACATTGTTCCAACTGTTCAAAACTCTCTTTGCAAAAGAGAACTTTTGTATATTTTTGACACTGTTTCTTTGAATCTTTGACACACTTTGAATCTAATTTGCAGGTTTTAAAAATTCCTCCTTGTCTATGTTGTCAATTCCAATTACTATTTTGCATGTAGTGATCATATCACCTCTTTTGCTACTATATACTGTATGCTGATGTAGATTTGACTAAATGTAAACTCTGTCAGCAGAACTATTCGCATACTTTGCGTCATTATTTAATGGAATGTGAAAAAATTGCGGAATTTAGAGATAACACCATCAATAGTGTACAAGAAATGTGCAAGTACTTCATTCATAATGATGTGCTGCCCGAAATCTTAGCGAAGTATCCAAAATTTGCTTACTGTAGGTAATGCATGCACATGACTGTAAAGCTGCCGCCCAGTTGGGTGAGTGTGCAGCAAGACTAGTAACTGTGTGACTCACTATAGATGTAAAGTGCCTTGTATAGTGGCTGTTGTGAGCCTCTTGTAATGTCACTTGTGACACTTGTGTCACAAGTGAATAGCACTGCTATTCAGCTTGTGACCACAGCATTGCCTAAAAATGCCATAATATGTATGTACATGCTATTATTTAGCAATGATAGTATTACAGAAGACCCCTGACTGTGATAAAAATGACCAGGATTCTGATAATAGCAGGATTGTTGTGATAATTAGTGCTGTAGTGGGAGGAGTAATCTTGGTGGGAAGGAGGGTAGCATTGTCTGCTGACTCTAACCACCTTTTATTGTCTGGACTCACTATACCAGCTTAGTTGTTCGCTATGATGAACAAAACATGCAGATACTTATATATAACGTCTGTATATAGTGAATAAAAACAAAAACAGTATGATGGGAGGAGAATGGTGGCGAGTCAGGTGAGGTGAGGGCGGGAGGGAGTGACAGCCAGTGGCGGGCTGTCACTGCCACTCGGCATACCAACTTAGTGGTTCGTTATGGTGAACACAAATGTAGATACTTATATATAACGTGTATGTATAGTGTAATAACAGCAAAAGGAGTGTTGGGAGGTTATCTTGAGGTTATCTTGAGATAATTTCGGGGCTTAGTGTCCCCGCGGCCCAGTCCTCGACCAGGCCTCCACACCCAGGAAGCAGCCCGTGACAGCTGACTAACACCCAGGTGTTAGTCAGCTCACACCCAGGGTGAAAGAAACTCTGCCCATTGTTTCTCGCCGGCGCCCGGGATCGAACCCGGGACCACAGGATCACAGTCCAGCGTGCTGTCCGCTCGGCCGACCGGCTCCTCTTGGGGAGAAGCCATTTTGGTGAGGGAGGTGGCGACATCTGCATGATTTATCATATCTTGAGGTTATCTTGAGATAATTTCGGGGCTTAGTGTCCCCGCGGCCCGGTCCTCGACCAGGCCTCCACCCCCAGGAAGCAGCACATGACAGCTGACTAACGCCCAGGTACCTATTTACTGCTAGGTAACAGGAGCATCAGGGTGAAAAACTCTGCCCATTGTTTCTCGCCGGCCCCCGGGATCGAACCCGGGACTACAGGATCACACGTCCAGTGTTCTGATCGCTCAGCCACCGGCTCCCCATATATCATGCTGGGTAGGGGTGGCCACTATGCTCTTTGAGCACTATACCAGCTTAGATGAACAGTTTTGGTGAACAGAACATGTAGATACTTATATATAACGTCTGTATATAGTGAATAAAAGCAAGAACAGTATGATGGGCGAAGGATGTGAACGAGTGAGGAGTCATTGAGGGAGGGACTGGCAGTGAGAGGCTGACTGGCAGATGTGGTGGCCACATCTCGTTGCTTTTTGACTTGCAATATCAACTTAGTGGTTTGTTATGGTGAACAAAACATGCTGATACGTATATATAACCTGTGTATATAATGTAATTACTGACTAAGAATTTATTTTTTGTTTTATGAACACAATATTTGAATCAATAATATGCACACCATAATTTTGAGTACAGCGATGATTCACACATTTTATTATATAAATATATCACACTACACACTATTGAATAATATTACAGCAAAAAACAAAGAAAAATCAGTCAGTCATTGAAATAATTAGGTAATTATCTCTGTGGCCACTCCTGCCTGACAGCTGGGGCTGAGCAGACCTCCTCGGACGCACGCTGAGTCAGCTCCTCTTTTTTGCCAAACTTCCCTGCCATATATAGCGGGCAAAACATGCCACTTACGATTTTGTTATTATTTTTTCGTGATCATCAAACACAAATTAACAGGTTTAGAAGAAAAAAAAAAATTTTGTTATGCACCTGTGGGTGACAATGGCCAAATAGCCCTTAGCAACACAAGAGTTAATTAGCACCCAGGAAGCACGAAAATCCAAGTACTGTGTAACAGCTGAAGCTGTTTTAAATAGGTGATTGTATGAAAGGTAGTAGCATACGCCCTTGTACAAAATTTGTAGTGACAGGGTAGTCGACCTGACTTTGGTAGCATGGGTCATCTCTCCTGGGGTTTAGGGGACTAACACCTTTAGAATACAAGATGGCAGTCTCCTTTGTTTTAAAGCAACATATAATGAATATTTCAACAAAACACAGTAATAACTAATTTGGCTTATGTAAGTATGTTAGGTTTACATGTACGTAGAATGAAGGTTGAGATGAGGGTTGTACACAGGCAGAGAAATGACAGCATGTGGAGGGACTAGTTTGGGTTCCGGATGACTCACCATGTCAAGGTCACGCGGCCCAGAGAGTGACCACATTAGTAATTCACAAAGTTCAAATTCAGATCACTAGCCAATATTGTAATTGGAAATAGCCTTTCCCTAAGATACCTGTACCATCAGTTTTGTAAGAATTCAACCATCTGGGTTGTTCAGTACAATAGAGATTAGTTGTTCAATTTAAACCCTGCTTAGTAAATTTACAAACCTGGCAGAGTAATACTTACTAGCCTAGGTCAGCCCTTAGCTGGGGATAGACTAGACAGTGTGGTTTTGGGAAGCAACTGAAGAGGTCAACCAGGTCCAGAGATCAGCACTCCATCGGCTGGTTTCATAGTTAAGGTAAAAGTTGCAGTGGGGTTTAGTAATCTCATGTCTGCCTCTATAGGAAACTAAGTTCATTTAGGGAGTGATAGTTAGGGAGTGCTTATTATTTTATATTTCTTAGCTTTTGATAATAAACGCTTAAGATTTTCTCGTTTCGTATTTTTGAGTATTTCCATGAATAATTTTATATACTTATTGTCCTGCCCATCGGTGTTCCACGAGTCTGGGTTATTGGAATGCATCAGTATTAATATTGCAGGCAAGCTTGCTATCTTAACTCCCAAATATCCCCCTTTGTTTTGTTTGAGTAACTCCCACACTTAACGTAAATTCATCCCCCTTTTCCAAGTAATTTGGGATTAAGCCCCAAGGGTTAAATAATTGATTAATTGGTCCAGACCCTGATTAACTGACAGCTTTGGTTACTGGTCTGGTGGTGGCGGCATAAAGAGATCCCTTGAGTTGGCTAGCAAACTTAGTACTGTACGACGTCACGTGGCTGTAGAATCTTAGTCGATTGAGTGGCTAAGACCATGTGGCGTGGGACTCAGCCGAGTTAGCTCTGGGGTCCTTTGGAATTCGGTTTAAGTAAGTTAATTACGGGCGGGGTAAAGGACGAAAAGAGAGCCGATACACGTCCTGTATTACAATAAACACGGGGATACTAATGTCTTGTGTTACAACTGTACGAATGCAGACGAGGAGTCAGAATAACGTAAAAATGTAGACCAAACAATACACCAGAAAGTGAAGACACGACGACGTTACAGTTCATCCTGGACCATTCTCAAGTTGATTGTGAATGGTTGGCACAATTGACTTGAGAATGGTCCAGGACGGACCGAAATGTCGTCGTCCCTTCACTTTCTAGTGTGTGGTTTGGTCTACATCCAAGTACAAACTATGACCTGGAGCTTGACAGCTGGGAAGACAGCACTCAAGATTCATAGTCCTGAGGTTCCGGGTTCAACCCCCAGTGGAGGCGGAGTTTCCTTCATCCTGATGCCCCTGTTCACCTAGCTGGGAGTTAGACAGCTGCTACAGGCCACTTCCTCGGGGTGTGTAACAAAACAGACGCCTGCTTGAGGACTGGGCAGAGGGTACGCTAAGCCCCAAAATCATCTCAAGATAACCTCAAGAGAAGTATCTCTTGTAGATAACTATATCTTGTAGTTTAGCCATAGTTGCCTGGAGAAATTGCAATTTTTGGTAAAAATTAGGAAATTTGCCGCATATGAATAACAGGGTCGTGCCGATAGGCTCTGAAACCCTGGGCGTCTGGGGTAAATGTGCACTTAAGTTCCTAAAGGAGGTGGATGAGGAACTCATTGGGAAAACAAGACTCAAGAGCGGACAGTTTTCTGTTCCAGCACCTCAGTGTCGCGGTCCAGAGAGGAATTGCGTGCCGTATCTTGGGCACGCACCCAACCTTCAGAGCTGGATGAGGTTTTCGAACATTGATTGTTGTGTGTGTTTTCTGTAAACTGTAGCAATGTAATAAAATAAAAAATAAAAAAATTTAAGAAAAAAAATAGGGGTGGTGGGAGAGGAAAATATCAAAGTGTTCAGGGAGAATCCACAAGGTCTCTTCTGAATACTTTATTTTCTTCTTCAAGGCTGTGGGTCCCTACAATTGCACCAGAGGTGGTACCCCTATTTTATATATATTAATGCTGTTAAACTTTCGAGTATACTGTGAGTAAACCGAGTACATTGCTTACTCACTCGCTGCTGTTAAACTTTCAGTGGTTCATAGTATTGCTGCCCTACACGTTCTTAAAGCCATTGCCATAAAGATCATTTTATAGGCCTAAGTAACCTAGAACACGTTACTAAGCCCATGAAAAGAAAGACTGAGGATGCTTTTTCAAGATGGGAGATGGTTACTGGAGGTCTGAGGAAGCAAATGTGTGCCCCTTTGTATGCATGTGATTTTTTAAGTATTATGATATATGTACTAACATCATGTGTCGGCTGGCGCAGTTTCTGGGGAATGAGTTTTCTCGACCGGCACAGCACAGTGGTTAATTATTCTACTTGATTTGTGAGTGCATATCTGAACTATTTTAAAACAACAATGTCAACTATTTTGATAAAATTTAAATAGCAAAAAGTATAATGATAAATTTAGAAGCAGCTTCCAACTGATTTCAAGAACCTTGAACTTTGTAATACAATAAGTAGACTTTGAATTTTACTGAAGACAAAATAGAACCTAATATATCACTAAACTACATATAGTACTTAATATTTATTACTCATTCTAACAGATACCCCGGTACTGTACTGTATCCATTTAAATAACACACTTGAAGCAACTATTTTGATTATGGCATGTCAATTTTTTCATATTAAATAACCAAGGTAACACAAAAATGTAAACAAAACCTTTTCTCGAGCATGCTTCACAAATGCTGACCATTATTGGATATAAATCAAAGCTCAGAATAACACTAATTAAACAAGCAATATTAGCAAAAATGAAGTGTAAAGGAAAACACAGCAGCACACTTGAGGTTAGGAGTTACATTTTTTTGTTATTTTTGGTCAAGTGTGGTATTATGGATTTACTAAAATACTGTAGCTTACATTAATCCAGTCATAAAATATATCATGGAAATCAGTCAAAAAGCATTATTTTGAAAATTATCTTTGTAAAAAGACATGATGCATCTCTAACTCAGGATTAGTAAGTGTCTTAATTTTGGAAGAACTCTGTGCTGCAGTAAGTAAATACTGTATACTGTACTTCCAGATGGAAAAATCTCTCCTTCACACAAAACTGAGTTTTCCTTTCTTTGTCAAAATTATGAGACATGCAGCTAGAAAACATCTACAGTACTACTGGGTCCAACAGAACTAGCTGATCTCTGACAACTATTCACAGTAGCTACTGCATATAGTATAGCTACTGCATATAGTATAAGACTTTACAAAGTAAAACCTAATACAAAAGTCGTAATGATAGTGGCAGGAGAAAGAATATGAAGTTATTAATGTTATGTTAAGTTGGTGAAAATTATAGTTAGTGGCACAAAGTAATAAAGTGGTTGAAGGAACATCTCAATATCTATCTTGAATGATGATAAAATCAATCAAAATTACAGTACTGTAATTACAACCGATTGTAAAATATATAATGACAAACATCCCTAAACTAATTGTCAATATTAATCTGAAAGCAAGGACTAGATTATGGCATGATCCAAAACACACTACAAGAAAAACAAAATGGAAAAGAAAATTACTGAAGCAAGTACTACGGTAATTCAGGAGGTAAAAAGAAGAATTACTGTAAATATTAACTAAGGAGCAGGCATTAAATTCTGTCACAGCTCTAACATTAACAAGCCAAACAATGTACTGTACTAGTGCACGGAGAAAACCAAGCAGATCATGAGACCACATACTTGCTAGAGTGAACGGTGCCCCCATCATCGTCGATAAGGGCACACCTGGCATTAGCGGAGGCCGAGGTGGAAACGCCATCTCAACAAGCCTGCCAGTACCTAAAGAAAATTAAATAATAAATTTAATCATACAGTACTGCAATTATACAATCATATGTTAATTATTGCTAAACACAGTTACTATTAAAACCACATACAGCCCACAAGGGTCCTGACAGCCGAGTGGACAGCGCTAAGAACTCGTAGTCCGGAGATTCTGGGTTCGATCCCCGATGGAGGCGGAAACAAATGGGCAGTTTCTTTCACCCTGATGCCCATTATCTAGCAGTAAATAGGTACCTGGGCAGTAGAGAGCTGCTACGGGCTGCTTCCTGGGGGGTAGGGGGGTGTAACAAAAAGGAGGCCTGGTCAAGGACCGGGCCACGGGGATGCTAAGCCCCGAAATCATCTCAAGACAACCACATGACAAATATGCAAAGTAAATGAGTTTCAATTATAGTAAGGGATATTTTATTTCTTAATTAAATTTAAAGCATACTGTTAATGGGAAACTAATTTATGTAGACAAGGTGACATGCTACTTAGATGCAGATGCGAGGGGCACCGTGTTCCTTGCATAAAATTTAACAACATTCAGCCCTAAACTAAAATAAGAAGGTTCTAAGACCTGAGAAGTGTACATGAGCCACATCATTGCTGCTCTTCACACAAACTCAGCCTAACTTATCCTAGCCTAACAAAAGCAAGACAACATTTAGTTTCATACACAACCATTTTAACACCGGCACAGATTTGGGATACTACTGCCTAAAACTGCCCAAAAGCAGAATTTGCTAGTATAGTAGTTTATTCTACTTTTACAGAGTGTAAGGCAAATGACCACCGACTTTGTGAAGACTTAAGAGCATTCACTTCCCACGGCCCGTGTTAAGCCTTACTCTACAAGGTAACGGGGACATGTTCCATCAACCTGCTGGCATCAACATTACAACCAGCTTCGAACATGCTGCTGGGTAAACAATGTCAACAGCTGTTTGGTGTCCAACCATCCCTCCCTCTCCAGGCTCCAACCGTCCCTCCCTCTCCAGGGCTCCAACCGTCCCTCCCTCTCCAGGGTTCCAACCGTCCCTCCCTCTCCAGGGTTGCAACCGTCCCTCCCTCTCCAGGGCTCCAACCGTCCCTCCCTCTCCAGGGCTCCAACCGTCCCTCCCTCTCCAGGGCTCCAACCGTCCCTCCCTCTCCAGGGTTCCAACCGTCCCTCCCTCTCCAGGGTTCCAACCGTCCCTCCCTCTCCAGGGCTCCAACCGTCCCTCCCTCTCCAGGGCTCCAACCGTCCCTCCCTCTCCAGGGTTGCAACCGTCCCTCCCTCTCCAGGGCTCCAACCGTCCCTCCCTCTCCAGGGCTCCAACCGTCCCTCCCTCTCCAGGGCTCCAACCGTCCCTCCTTCTCCAGGGCTCCAACCGTCCCTCCCTCTCCAGGGCTCCAACCGTCCCTCCCTCTCCAGGGCTCCAACCGTCCCTCCCTCTCCAGGGCTCCAACCGTCACAATTAGTGTTCATGTGGAGAGCAGAGGTGTGGGCCCACTCCCTGACCCGCTATATTACACATCATGGCCTCAACACCTGCTCCCAGGCCAGGCAAAAGGCCATTTTGACTAACTATGAGACACTACCTAAGTGAGAGCAATGCCAGTGTAGGTATACAGCACTTGGACGGGATATGACGACCCTCACAACTGGGATGAGGGCGGAGCAAAGGGTGGGTGCCCAACAACTTAGTTCCCTTGGGCTTTGGACGTCCACCGGGAAAATGTGGCCACCACTATGGGTAGGTGTGAGTGAGTGATCAGGAGCCTGGTGAGGGAGCCTGGTGAGGGGAGCCTGGTGAGGGAGCCTCCACGTCAATACCTTCACAACAGGGCCCACCACCTTCCCATCGCGTCAACCCAACATTTGCCAGCCTTCTGCACGTGTAATAATGTGCTATACACTACCTAACCGGCCTCACCTCCACCTGTAACCTCCCAACAACACCCCAGTAACCAATAACCAATACTCACACTATTAAATATGTGAGAAAACCGGTTGGAAACTAGGAGAGACGACCCACTCAATAACACACGGAGAAAATGGCGTACAGCTACTGTGCGATTCATTTCAAGGAAACTCACGAAAGCATTATTTATTTATACAGATCTCAATAAAAGTGTATCACTCTTGTTAAAACTAATAGAAATTTAATTTAAGGCTGTTTTCTGAATGGTTTTAAATTTAAAGTTAATAAATATTACGCAATCGTAAATTCCTCCCTCGACCCATCCCAGCATGAACTTGTATATTGACCATAAACCTTCAATATTCCCGCCTCTTGCTGACTTATCACATTACTACTCAATTTAATCATTCATTTATATATTTGTTGAAGGATATTTTGTTGTTGCCATACCTTGGCAAGGAGGGTGTAATTGATGGGTATACTGTATACAATGGGAGGGAGGAACAAAACCCGCGTATTCTTGTATTAAAACATACTACCGCCCTAAAGATGAGTATGGGGTGCATAATAATAAATGAAAACATACTTCACTTTAAATACCAAACTTAACTGACAGATTAACTTGATTATTAATATGTAGTGACTGTATTATTAAATGTCTAGCTAATGATAATGATTGTTATAGAATTTTTATTGATTTACAAGGAGCTTTTGATATCGCCAACAAAGAGGTTATCTTATATGAACTAACTGGTCTTGGTGTTAAAGGGAGATTATTGCGTTGGATAGGGGATTATCTTCACGAAAGGAAGGCTCAGGTGTGGTATCAAGGTTGTATGATCAGGTGTGAGGTCTTTTGAACTCGGCACACCTCAGGGAGGAGTGTTGAGCCCCACCTTGTTTAATGTACTAATGAATAAGATAGCATCTGAGAGATACTCAAATGGGGTAGATCTCCCATTGTTGATGTGACGACTTATATTGAATTTTGTAACTAGCTCATCAAGATTGTAACTTGCTTAGCTAAATGAATTGTGGGGTTCAGTCCCCGAGCCCATTATGTGCCTCTGTAACCCTTTCGGGTGCATAATAAATGAACTAAACTAACTAACTGGATAATGAAGACAAAACTAAGTTTGAATGTAGCAGTCGGAGGCCCATTATATTGATTCAGATTCAGATTCAGATGTTTATTCAGGTAAGGTATATACATACAAGTGATGTTACATTAATGGATTGATATATAGATAGAGCTAGTACATACAATGCCTAAATTGGAAATAAATTGGAAATAAACGGTAAAAATAGAGTTAATATATATAAATATTTAGGCATATATGTTGGAAATACCCATGAGAGTTTGGAAGCTGAGATGAACAGACTGTTGGGTCAATGTCTGAAGAGATTACAACCTCTGAAGGCCTTGGCATGCTGTGGAAAGGGAGTGGGAGTCCCTGTGCTACGAATGATATACTTGAGTACTGTAAGATCTCTTACTGATTATGCTGCACCTGTCTTTTCTTGTTTTGGTAAAGGTAGGATGGGCAAGTTGGAGAAGATACAAAATGAAGCCATGAGAATTATCTTAGGATGCCCAAGAAATGCTATGATTAAGATAATGAGGATGGAGTTGAATTTGAAGAGTATTGAGGATAGAATTTCAGAGATAAATGTTGCCTCTGCCATTAGATTAATGAGAGGCGGGGGAGCTAATGAATTAATCCTCTCAGTTCAAAAGGTGGGAAGTAGTGAACAGTGTATGATAAAGAAGAGAGTATATATGAGTACCTTACGTTCTAATGTTATAAAGTATGATGTTATTACAGAATGTATTGCTGTGCCCAACAGACAATTCACACCACCATGGGAGGATTGTAATGTAGATGTAGTAATTATTCCCTTGCAAATGAAAAAAGTATGTATGAGATAGGAGAGCTGAGGGCAACATATGATTGTATAATTAGGAAATTGCCTACAGAAAACACTCTACATGTATAATGTGATGGGTCAGTAGCTAGGGTAGATGGGAAGGCAGGATGTGGAGTCTTGATCAGGGAGTACACTGACATCGGTACTGTTATTGGACGCCGCTTAACTGACAATGTCTCTTCAACAGAGGCTGAACTCCAAGGTGTATTAGCAGGATTACAAGTAGTCAAATGTGGTAAAAATGTCTGCTTCTTTATTGACACTAGAGGAGCGTTAGTCTTTAAATAGCAGACGCCCAGTATACCAGAATATTGTGATGGAGTGTAGAGAGAATGTTAAGAAATTAGAAAAAAACTGGGTGTAAAGTAAGATTCATGCGGATCCCTTTACATGTGAGAATACTGTTGAATGAAGTAGTTGATGAGATAGCAAAGAGAGTCACGGAAAAAACTCTTGTCGATATTGTATGTCAGATAACCTTGAAACAATTAAAAACAAGAATCAAGATGATCCAAGAGGGTGAAGAAATGGTAAAGAGAATGGCAATGGTGGACAGTAGCAACACACTTAAGAATTATTCAATAATAAACACACATTCATCCTTCACCTTTGGTAGAGGAAAGTTTACTTGGAAGGATTCAATTTACATGAGATTAAGATTAGGATACAAATATATCTGGCAATACGGTGTTGCTGTCAGTGAAAAAGAAAAGGAGTGTAAATTATGTAGTATGCCGCACGCCCACACCTTAGAACATTATGTATTAGAGTGTCAACTTATTGATAACTATAGAAATAAGGAAATAAGTAGTGAACTACATCAAATTGTTTGGATGTGTGATAATGGTATGACAGACAGAATACTTAGGAGCTACAAGAATTTTGCCCCAGGAGTGTAACACTTATGTGCTGTGCTTACTATATTAACCTGCAATATTAAATGGGATTCTTGTATTGTGATTTGTGTATTTGTACTCACTGAACTTGTGCGCCTCTTGAGGGACTTGAAGTGGAGAGGGGTAGAAATAGCCTAAGCTACTCTATCCCTTTGAGATGTATTTTTTTCTTGTCTCAATAAACATGAACTTGAACTTGAACTAATATTTAGCAACTATATTAAGAAGTTATATACTTGCTCCATATTCTCATTAGCTTCATTGCAGATAAGTAGGGTTAGTTCCACACGTTGATAAACCCGTGGAACCGCCTACCCGCCGAAGCCGTAAATGCCAGAACTCTGTTAAATTATAACATCCATCTGGAAAAATCATAAGGGCAAATGGGGGGACCGTTGACAAGCCGCCGGCTTCGGGCTTCCTGTCCTTGTCAAGGCCACTAGAGTGTTAGTGGCCCCTCAGGTAAATTAGATGAGTCTGTTAATCCCACTTAATAATAATAATAATAATAATAAGAAGAAGAAGAAGAAGAAGAAGAAGAAATTTGCTTTCACTGTATGTACGATTCGACAAGAGATGAGAAGAAGAATTATCCCTAATTATCTCTACTTTCCAGGAAGTTTTACATTAATCCTAGATTCACTACTTACAATTAAAATCTCTTCCAAAGTGTACGATTAATGCAGATGAAAATTCACAATAACGTGGCTGAAAAATGTTGACTGAACCACACACTAGATATTGAAGAGATGATGACGACGTTTCGGTCCGTCCTGAACCATTATCAAGTCGATTGTGATGAGACGAGATGATTGATGAAGATAAAGCCACCCAAGAGGTGGCACGGGCATGAATAGCCCGTAACAAAAGATACGGAAAGTAAGGTGTAATAAGAGAAATGAGAATGGGAACGTACGAGAAACAATAGAAAGAAAATGGTATTGAGGGTGCTATATTAAGCTGGATTAGGGCATGGCTATACCAAAGGAAACAGAGAGTTAGTATAAATGGAGTCAAGTCAGAATGGGAAAATGTTGTAAGTGGAGTGCCTCAAGGCTCTGTCCTGGGACCTCTGTTGTTTATAATATATATAAATGATTTAGATTCAGGTTTGAGTAGCAACATTTGCAAACTTGCCGATGATACGATACGGTAGGGAAATTAATTCGGAGGAGGACTCACTATCACTTCAAGTTGATCTAGATAGGGTTTTGAAATGGTCAAAGGATTGACAGATGCAGTTTAATGCGATAAATGTAAAGTTCTGAGGTTAGGTAATGATGATAGAGTTACAAGATACGAGCTAGATGGTGTTGAGATTGCGAAAGGGATCTGGGAGTTATGATTAGTAAGAATTTAAAACAAAAGGATCATTGCATAAATGTTCGTAATAACGCAAATCGGACACTTGGATTTATTAATCGCAGCGTTAGTAACAAGACACCTAGTGTGGTTCTCAAGCTATATCTTGCTCTAGTTAGGCCCCATTTAGATTATGCAGTTCAGTTTTGGTCGCCATATTATAGAATGGATATAAATTCACTTGAACGTGTCCAGCGTAGGATGACTAAGTTAATTCCCCAAATTAGAAATCTTTCATATGAAGAAAGATTAACAAAGCTTAAGTTGCATTCACTGGAAAGGCGAAGAGTTAGGGGTGACATGATAGAGGTTTACAAGTGGGTGAATGGACATAACAAAGGGGATATTAATAGGGTATGAAAAGTATCAACACAAGACAGAACACGAAACAATGGGTATAAATTGGATAAGTTTAGATTTAGGAAAGACTTGGGTAAATACTGGTTCAGTAACAGGGTTGTTGATTTGTAGAACCAATTGCCGCGTAAGATTGTGGAGGTGGGGTCCCTCGATTGTTTCAAACATGGGTTGGACATGTATATGAGTGGGATTGGGTGATTATAAATAGGAGCTGCCTTGTATGGGCCAATAGGCCTTCTGCAGTTACCTTTGTTCTTATGTTCTTATGTTCACTTGAACGTGTCCTGCGTAGGAAGACAAAGCTAATTCTTAAAATTGAAATTAATTAATAGTATAATTGTTTATATAAACATCTACCTCAGCATCATAGTAAAATCTTCCACATAAATATAATCTCACCCTGTTTATTTTTAACTTAGATTTATATTAGAGTAAATTTCTAGATTCACTTAGATTTATATGTCATTTTTTTCTTTTTTGAATTATCTATTTGAGCTCACTTTGTTTTCTTAGGTTCATACTAATTATAGGATTTTAACTAACCATTACTAAGCTAATTATCTTTAAGATCATTTTACTTATGATTATTATTTTGCATTTTACAT